TTTTTACCTGGATTACTGAGATGCATCAGGACATATTTTAAAAAAATTACAAAACTTAATAGCCAACAGTATTTTTACAGTCTTTATTTTACACTTAAAATAAATGTTATCAAATAAAGTTTGATGTTTCAGCTAATCAGGGATCCCTTTAAAAAGACAAGAAAGGCAAATGCCACAACCTAGCAACATTTACTTTACAATTAATAATAGTCGGTGCCCAACAAATTAGCTTTTGAGAAAATGTATTTTATCTGTTTTTTAAACTTTTTTATAAAATGTTTGCAAATCTAAAATATAAATGTCAAATACAGCCACTCATGCAAAGTCAGAGGATTAAAGCTCCAACTCAACGACAAAGACAACCCAAGAAAGCAAAAACCTTCCAATTTCTATTTATTGCAGAAGAAAGCTTTTTAAAAGGCACATTTCAAATCCCTAAAATTCTACTGTGTTCATCTGTACAACCCATTTCTATTACTAGAGATTGGTCAGATTTGTGCCCCTAAAACAAAAATCCCCAAAAATGAGTTGGAATTCAGATTTTGCAACCTGTTTAGATACTTAAAGTTTGTATACTAAACTTTAATTCAGGATTTGTCATGAAGCTTTTAAAATCAACATAAAAAGATCAAAATGAAGAGAAAACAAAGACTTTTTGCACTAAACTTAAACCTCTTTTCTTTTTACTTTAAGCATCAGGTTCYAACTAGAATACATGAAGTCTTGACATGTTGTGTGACGGTTGCACAAACAGTTTATATTTCAGCTAACTCCAGTGGAAGCAAACAGTCTTCTTCTCATCAATATCACCATAAATTGTTTCATTGTGGTGAAAGAAAAAAAAACTACTTCAAAGAGACCTAAWCTCTGTCTTTGTTTCCCCTCAAATGAATCACCTCATTACTTTTGTTGAGTCAGGGATTAAAGCTGGCGGGCCTGCAGAAGAACCGTCTAAAGGAGGGAGATTAGGAGAAAGTTGAGTTTTAAGGCGGTCTGATTTCACTTTCATCAGTTTGTTATAAACTAACATGAGGCTGCTTCACTGAGGCCACTTCAGAAGTTTCAGCACCAGAGATTGTTGGATTGAAAAGATGAAGCTGAGAGAAGCAGCTTACTGCCAACAGATGGCATCATTGAGTCATGGGACCTCACAGAGATTCATGACTCATGTAAAAGCAGAGACTAATGTTTGAACTGTGCATCCAAGAATATAGAAGACTGAGGACATGTTAGACAACATATGGATCCTACTTATTTTTTCAGTTCTTCCTTCTTCAGGGGTCTCCACGGTGAGTCATCCTCCATCTCACTCTGTCCTCTATCTGTATTCCCACTGTCCCTCCAATGGACATGTCTAAACCATCTCAGTCTGGCCTCTAAATGCATCTCCCAGTCATTTCTGTGCTGTACCCCTGAGGATCTCCTTCCTGATCTTATCCATCCTCGTAACTCCTAAGGAAAACCCCAACATCTTCAGCTCTGACACTTCCAGTTCTGTCWCCYGTCTCTAAACWATGCAACACTGGTCTCACTGCTGTTCTAAACCTTTCCTTTGACTAGAGGCCGTTGTAGGTATCTCAACAACAGTCTGTTGACATCTAACATGGCATCTTGCTCAGTGTTTGTGTGCTGAGTCAACACTCAATTCGCTGGACTGTAGACAGGTGCATGAACTGATAAACAGCCCAAATCTAAGGCTTGGGAAAGCTCTTATYGCCGTGACAAGGAAAATTTCAAGTACATTGGTTGGAGTCCTAACTGGGCACAACCTGCTCAWYCACCACAAAATGGTGATGGGACTCCATGACAATGGTCTGTGTGATGCCTGTGGCACTGAATTGAAGACATCTTTGCACTACTTCGACCACTGCCTGGCTCTGAGCAGTCAAAGGAAAATAATTCTTGGGGACCCTTTTATGGATCCTGCGAAGCTCAGAACACTGAATGTTTCTAACCTGGTGTTCTTCATCTGAGGGACGAGAAGGTTTACACAAAGCTCAGTGTCTTATGGGGAGAGCAATGGGCCCAGTTACGAGGCCCCCGCTCATGTGGGTTCTTATCCACCCCCACTCACCATACAATACCAAACCTTTCTTTTGACCTTTGCTGCCACCCCTTTGTCACAAATCTCACTCTTGTTCACCTCTTAACCACACTCAGTTTTCCTAGATAGTCCAAAGTACTTGGAAATCCTGCACCTTTGTGAACTCTGCTCTGTATAGCCTGATTGTTCCACTTCTTTCATTTACACACATGSATTCTGGCTACGGTTGACATTCRTTCCTCTTCTAAGCRCATACCWCCACCTCTCCAAGTTCTCTTCCACGGGAAGATTCCTGCCTAAYTTCATCCRTTAKTCTGTCCATCACCAGACCAAACAAGAGGATCAGAGCCGATWCTTGATGTAGTCCCACCTTCACCTTGAAGTTATCCACATCTCACAGCTGTCCTGCTGTCTCCATATGTATAACCAGTCCAACATASTTCTATGCCACTCCCGATTTACTCACACACCACAGCTCCTCCGTGTCTTCAAAGCAAAGACAGTGTCAGTGTTGCTTTCTTGGTGTAAAAACCACACYGTTGCTCTTAAAATCTTTAAATCTTWTCCAAATCTGGGTTCGACAACTCTCTCCTGGATCTTCACCAMATTATTTCCTCTGTAGTTGCTACAACTCTGTACATCCCCCATTTATTTAAATAGGTGCCAGCACACTTTTCTTCCACTCCTCAGGCATTTTCTCACTTTGATATTTAACATATTGATCCTACTAATCTGTGGAAACTGTCAAAGTCAGCACGAAGAAATATTTTAAAACTTTCTGCAGTTTTATTCTTATATGYAGAACTGAAATCCTGAATTATTAGTATCTCACCTACATGAGAACTCGCTCAGAGGTTTGGAGTCAAGCAGATGTTTCCCCCAAGACCAAAACAATACTGCTTTACTTACAATA